GTAAAGGGCCATGTGCTGACAGTACTGACCGCTTTCTAATAAAAGAAAATTGAACTGCTGGGACTGTTTGTGAACCACAGAGCCTAAACCTTGATGGGTTTGGATCTTTGTATTAAAATTCTGCCCGAGATGTGACGTATATTACAGGTGCAGCTGGAAATAATGTTAATCCTGTATCTCTTTCTGTGCTCTACAGAATAAGGAAAACAATATGTTGAAAGACCTGCTGAAGGCAAATGCTGAGAAAGCAGTGAAGCTGGAGGTGTATAATATCAAAACAATGAAAATAAGAGAGGTGGAGGTGATCCCCAGTAACATGTGGGGAGGACAAGGCCTCCTCGGAGCCAGCGTGAGGTTCTGCAGCTTCCAGGGAGCCAATGAACACGTGTGGCATGTTTTGGTGAGACAGAATTCTTTGGTGCCTTGTCAGTGTTCGTACAACCTTGTTTTACAGTGTAATATTTAGAAGTAACTTTTATGTAAAGTGCAGTGCTGAAATCACACAGAGGAAGGGAGCGGAGTCTTGAAGGTTTGAGCTATTTCAGTAGGGACAACGAGTAGGTGGCTGTCAGTGTTGCCTGTCACTGACAAAAATAACTCCATTGCAGCCAGACCCAATAGTCTAGATGGGAAGGTTTTTTTTGTTGAAGAATCAATGTCAAAAGCAAAAATGTTCTGGCCTGATTGGTGCTTCTGTGTTGGCTTAACTTAATTAAATTAATGTTACAAAAAGCACCACAAATTTATTTTAAAATTAAGAGGTAGAACTGAAAAGGAAAGACTGCTTGTTATGTTTCTGGTTGTTAAAATAAATGCAACTTCTCCACGTCTTTGGAGTATCTTATTTTAAATTGGTACCAGCTTGGTCTTTCTTATGCAGCATGTTTTCCAAGTTGTCACACCTACATGTAGACTCTTCAAGGACTTCTGTTTTATCCCATAAACAAAATGTTCTTTCCTATTGCTGTTTTTGGGGTTAGCTTTCCTTTTGGATCTCGGGGTGGTTTATCCTCCTGCCCATGCAGATGACAACCATCATTCTTTCACAGGATGTTGAACCTGCATCTCCTGCAGCTCTGGCTGGTCTCCAGCCCTACACTGACTACGTTGTTGGATCTGATCAGATTCTCCAGGAGGTAGGGTGCATTCTGGTAGGGATTGATTGTCTTTGCCAAGTGTATGTTGTAGGATTTGTTTTTTCATAAATCTGCTTCCGTGTACATCAAACGTATGGGGTTGGTGTTTGGGGATTTGGGGAGGTTGGTATTTATGTCAGATGCTTTATTGTTGAGGTAAACATTATCTGTCTTTTTAATGTGACAATAAAAAGAAGTTGCCATTAAAGATCAGACTACACTAGTGAGTTTTCTGGCTCTGGGTTTTTAATGTCTCATGTTGAAGTAAATAACTATGTAAAATGCTGACTTGCCTTTAGTTCCTTGTCTTGCACATGTGAGTTTATTAATTACTTTCTTTTTTTCTTCTTAGTCAGAGGATTTCTTTTCCCTGATTGAATCCCATGAGGGGAAGCCGCTGAAGCTGATGGTTTATAACACTGAAGCAGATTCCATTCGAGAGGTAGTTGTGACTCCCAATGGAGCTTGGGGTGGAGAAGGAAGGTACTGATCTCTGGACAGTCACCTGAAGACAGGTTTTATACTCACTGTGAATGAGATCCTGTTAAGAGTATTATTACTATCAATTGCAGCTTGTTGTTTTCAAGTTAAGCCTTATTTCGTTACACTTATCACAAAAACTGTTAAATCTCTTCATAAAAAAAAAAAAAAGCTTTAAACTAGGAATTGGGCATGTTCTGGATCTAAACCTTTTGAGTTGAATCTCAAATGGCAAAACCCCTGTGTTGAGTTCCCCGTTAGCAGATTCACTGTCTGCATTCTCATAGTCAAACAATGAGCTAAAGCAAGAACAAGACCCACATCAGGGCAGATGGTACATTCTGTAAAGATACAAAACCAACCAGCTGAAAGCTTGTATTTCTAAAAGTCAACTGCACAGCATTCCCTGAGTACTGCAAGTGAAACGACTCTTGCAGGTAGGTATTTCCTGCTCTAGATGAAAGACACAAACTCTTTTCATTGTAAAGAGTCAAAATTTAAAACACTTACTAGTTTTGTTAAGAACACCCTTTTTTTTTTTCAAGTTCTGATTCACTTGTCTTGTACAGCTTAGGATGTGGTATTGGATATGGCTACTTGCACAGAATTCCAACACAGTCCATAACATCAAAGAAAAAGCCAGAAAGCAAACCACCTTCACCCTCACCAGAAGCTGGGACTCCTGTACCATCCACTAATGGTTACACAGAGGTAGGTAAGAAATAAATGCCAATTTCTGGCATGTGTTCTGGAGTTGGAAAATGTTCTACTTTTTGGAACATTGGTAACACAGTGTATTGGAGTACAGTGTTCCATTTTACTGGAATGAAATGAAGGTGGGTGAAGGCAAAGTGAGAGCTGAGGATGCTGATCAGGTGTGAAATCACCAGTGTTGGCTCATGCAAGTTTTTGCATGGACTGTTCTTGTAACAACATAATGGCTTTAAAAGCTGAACAGGAACACTTTGATGTCCTAACTGGTGTTTGGTTTTCAATTTCAGCATCACAGATTCTCTCTGAATTGGTGTATGTGGAAACAGGCAGGATGCTTTCATAGGAAGGTTGGCTTCAGGCAAAGCTTTCAATGTAAAAGGATGTTTTTCCTTCTTACTGTCTTATTCCAGACTCCATTATTGGCACCTACCTCTCAGAGTGACAGCTCTGGAACAGTCATGAACTTGGATCATTCCAGAGATCAAGAAATGAGCGGTTATTCACCAGAAAGCTCACTTTCTCCTCCTCCCCCTCTCCAGAGAGTTATGGATCCAGGTATATTTTCTTAGGTGCTTTTTCAGCAGTTCTTTAGAGGACATCAGGGATTAAGGGCTGGACTTGATGATCTCAGGTCCTTTCCAAACCATCTGATTCCGTGATCTAAATAAACTAATAATGTCTTAAACAAGCTTGAGACTTAACTATAGAACTGTGAGCATTGGTGGTTGTTTTCCTTGAAATTTTTGACTTCCCTGGATTTCAGAGCTGTAGAACTGAGGGACCACATAAGTTAAACTTATTTGCATTTAGCAGGGAGGGGACTTCACTGACTTTAGTCTGGATATAACTTGTCTCTGTTAATCTATAATTCTGTATTGTATCTAAAAAAGTGATGCAATATTCGCTTTCTCCTTCAGGATTTCTAGATGTGTCTGATATTTCGTTTTCCGAGCTCACTAGCTTAACAGAAGTGTCCAGCATGTCCCCATCTGCCTCCTTCAACGTGCCAGCAGCAGGTGCTTCTGCAGGCCCTGAAAAATTAATGTCAAACAATGAAGCCTCCACTTATTTTGGTAAGTGCATTCGAGATTTCCTTTATTTCTGGAATTGCACCAACTCATGCCTGCTCAACATTATCACACTTTTTGGAAATAAGCAAATTTTAATAAAAATCAGAAAGGAGAGGCAAAAATAAGATGGAAAAAGTAGCAGAAATCAGATATAGAAATGGACAAAAACTAAAGGGCTTTCTTATAAGATTATAGAAAGGTCTTTTTCTTTAAATGAAATCATTGATAAAAACTGGCTTTAAAAGTAGGTATTTCTAAAAACAGTGTAAATTAATTTTTGTACCACAGTTGTAAAGCAAAACCAAAGTTGTAGTCATCTTAATATTGACTTTTTGTGGTGGTTGACCCTGGCTGGACACCAGGTACCCACTCAGTCACTTTGTCACTCTCCTTCCTCAGCTGGGCAGGGGAGAAAAAATCCAGTGAAAGGCTCGTGGGTCAGGGAGAGATCCCTCTTCAGGTGCTGTCATGGGCAAAACAGACTCAACTTGGGGAAATTAGCTTAATTTATTACCAAACAAATCCGAGTAGGATAACGAGAAATAAACCGAAATCTTAAAAACGCTTCCCCTCTCCCCCCCACCTTCTTCCTGGGCTCAGCTTTACTCACAAATTTTCCATCTCCTCCTGCCAGAGGCACAGGGGGACTGGGAATGGGGGCTGCAGTCAGTTCATCACAGGTCTCTGCTGCTCCTTCCTCCTCAGTGGGAGAGCTCCTCACACTCTGCCCTTGCTCCAGCATGGGGTCCTTCCCACAGAGGTCCAGCTCTTCAATGTGGGGCCTTTCCATGGGCTCTAGTTCTTCAGGAACTGTTCCAGCAGGGCTCCCTTCCATGGGGTGCAGTCCTTCAGGAACAGACTGCTGCAGCCTGGGTCCCCTCTGAGGGGTCCTGCCAGGGCCCTGCTCCAGCACAGGCTTCCCCCAGGGTCACAGACTCCGCTGGGCATCCCCCTGCTCCGGCCTGGGCTCCTCCACGGGCTGCAGTGCATCTCTGCTGCTTCCCCATGGCTTTCCATGGGCTACACCACTCCTGCCCCTCCTTCTGCACTGACCCAGGAGTCTGCAGAGTTGTTCCTCTTGCATATCCTCATTCCTCTCTCTGGCTGCTGTTTTGCATTGGGAATTTTTTCCCCTTCTTACATACATTATCCCGGAGGTGCTGCCACTGACACTGATGGGCTCGGCCTTGGAGCTTGCTGGCATTGGCTCTCTTGGACCCCTGCAGCTCCTTACTACCAAAACCTGGCCAAGCAAACCCAACACACTTTTCTGTTTTAAAAAAAAAATATATCTTCACATGATGCCCACCTTTCCCTTCCAAAAGGTAGGGTGACAGTAAGCATTGCAATGCAAAATAACAGTAAGAACACAGCAGACCCAAAGGTTCATGGTCTTTTAAAAACCTGTGTAAACCATCAGATTTCCTGGATTTGGGGAGGACTGAGTAAATGCAGCCCATGTCTTTGACAGTTGTGAATCTGTTTATGTGCCTGTACGAGGTGTCTTGTTCAGGCTGATTTTTCTAGACACAGGGTAACCAAGGGTGCTGCCTGTTACCTTGCCAGTTTTTATTTTCTTACAAACCATTTCCATTTCCCAGAAAATGCCACAGCTTTGGACCCTCAAGATATAACCCTGTATTCTGAAGGCTCAGTCAAGCAGCCAGAGCTGGATGATCTACTGCCTTCAATTCCACCTTTACCTTCTTTTCCTCTTCCTCATGAAATTTCTTCAAAAACAACACTAGGAACTGATCCTGATAACCAAGAATCAAAGCTGCTTGTGAACAGCACTGAGAGCTCATTAACCACTGCTCCAGAGAAACCAGAGGAAGAAGCAGCAGCTGAACAGAAAGAAGCAGCAGCTGCACAAGATCCTGAGTGAAATGGACCCTGCTCGTGTTTACAGACTGTCAAATGCTGCACTGCTGCAGCTTGGAATATTTTTCTGATCTTGAAAGAATTACAGTTACTCTATTTTGTTAGTGTAGACAATACTAGAAAAGAAATCACATGAAGAACATATCCTGTTGTATTTTCCAATCACTGTTTAATGGATTGATCTGTGTTCAAACTTCAAATGCTGTCCAAAAATCTCCAAATTAATGGAGAAATTAATGCAGAAACAAGTTGGACACTGGCAAAATGTCAAGTTCCAGAATTCACATTTGCCTACAACTGCTCCTGAATGTATTTATGAAGGCCCTATGCCTGAACAGTGACACTTAGTGATGATTTTATCAGTATGTTTGATGGCATTAAAAAAAAATATTTATAGTTTTGATTTGTTAGAAAGCTTTTCTAATGGTACTCCTTGGCTAGACAGTTCTTGTGATTTGCAAGGCATTTCTTACCCCAGGACACTTTTATTCCTACTTAATACTCCTCAAACTGTTATTTTTTTCTTGTTTTAATCCCTTCTCTGTAACAGTCACCTTTGCTACAACTACTTCCTCAGTAAAGGAAGTTCCATGTGGTTTGAAGTTGCAGCACAGAGATGGGACAGAATCGTGGTGGGTCCTGCCCTTCCCTTCTGCTCTTCTGTGGACCAGGTGGTGGCCTCACACTTAAATAAGAAATGAAGCAGGGGAGGGAATGATGATGGTTATTTGAAACGAATGGAAGTGAAAATGATGTTTAAGGTGGGGTGATGAACCTTTTCAGTGGAGCTGAACGTCTTGGCTTCTGTAATGACTGAGAAATAGCTTTTCTTTAGTTGTGCTTTTCTATTGACTCATTTCTATTTTTATACAAGTTGTTGTAAGTTTTAAGACATGGGGCTGTTGTGCAGCAACATCAACTGGTTTTTGCAGCTTTTTTGTTTGCACTTGTCTTCAAACAGATTCTGAATGTAGCAGCAAACATGACATGAACAATGAAAGGAGTGTGGTTCTGTAACCCTCAGGGCAGTGATTTATCATGGAATGTCAAAGGGATAGGGAATAACACAGTTACTGTGGTGAAACCCCTTCCTGAATTAAGAGATGGGTGGTGTTGTAGCCAAACACTGAAGTACATTATTTAGCACAGTATTGCCTGATTTCCCTGCCCTGTCCCCTGCTGTTTCTGCACTGTGCAGATCGGTACATGAGAAATGCTGGGGCTGAAATCTGGTCCTGGGGCAGGAGGGGGGACTCAGGGTCATACAGATGTGCCTGTGACAGCTCAGCTTCACCCAAAGGGTGCAGGTGAAGTCACAGAACAGGAGTTCTTCAGCTGAGTCCACCCTAGCATAAAATCTGTCCTTGGTACTCCTTCATCTCTGTTGTTAGTCTGAAATAATGCAAGTACAGTAGGTCTGAACAGGATTGTCAAAATACCTGTTGCTTTAAAGAATGTATTGAGCCCTAACTGCAGGCAGTAGAACTGAGAGATTTGGACTCTAGTCTGCTAAATGGTCTGTTAATTGCAAACTGATCTTATTTCCTGTATTGCTAAAATAAATTTCCTCTTTTCTTTCCCCACCTGACTGTTACAAGGGTGAACAGCCAAACACTAAAAATAAATGTAATTTAAACTATTACTGAGTTTGTTTGATCTTGTAGCCTGATGTCTGAAGACATCTAGGTGATCTGTTTTACTGGTTTTGTTTCTTTAGGACTTGTTTCTAGTCTTCCACCTTTCTCAAAACTGTTTTTAAGCTGGTAGTAGCTCACTTAAATGATGCTGTACCATTAACACCCTTCAGAAATTTAAGAGCAGAGAATGTCAAAACTTGTTCTAGATTTCAATGTCACCATAATAAATGGCTTAAACTTAGTCTGTGTGTTAACTGGTTCTTGGAAGAGATTTGGAAAACCAAATCCCTTGGGTTAAGCCTTAGGCAGAGTGATGTTGGGTTCTCCTAACCTCAAACTTGATCATTCAAATGCTAAATGAGATGAAGAGTTCAACCTCCTCATCAAATTCCTTTACTCTTGATAATTTGGATGCTACCTCACTGCTGAAGGTAGGTAGGCAGTACTCCTACTTGTGGGTAGAAGATGGTTAGAATTTCTTAGTTTCAAAATAAAACCTAAAAAGAGTGGGAGAAACACCTGAAGATTCAGAGCCAAAACCAAACAGCCAATCAACCCTGTGCTGTCCCAAACATCTGTTTCCAGGTAAGTAAGAGCTGGATATGACCTTTCTCCCACTGTAAACTTTGAGGGCATCTCTAAACCCGACAGCAGTTCTTCTGAAGACACAGGACAGACTTTCTTGGCAGCATCACAAGGAGGGCAAAATAAAGGAGGAGGAGCTCACCTCGGAGCACTCAGGGGTTTGTATGGCCAGACACAACAGGATCAGCTTCCAGACCTGGGCTGCTCCCTCATATTAAAAGCTGAGCCTGAGGACATGAGCCTGGCAGATGTTTAATCCAAAGAGGCTCCCAGGAGCTCAAGTACTGCAGCAGGGATTAGGGCAAAGCCCATCTCCAGGGAGCCATGGCCCTGCCTACCCCAAGGAGCCAGGACACCTGGGATTGATGTGGGCTGATCCTGGATGGGCCCTCCAAGGCTGGGGGATCTCCACCCGCCTGGATACTACAACTCTGCTCAGCAAAGCCCGGAGACACTTGGTCAAGCCCTGCCCCAAGCAAGGTTATCTTGAGCATGCTGGGCCAATCCCTCCCCTCTCAAGTAATTACTTGATTGATGGGAACTTTGGGCAGCATAAACCTGTACTGGGAATGATCACAGATCTACTGAACCTCCTGCTGTACTGCTCTAGGCTCTGTGCAGAGGCTGCTCATCCAAGTTGCCACACTTGGCTGAATTTCTCTGAGATGTAACTCAGCAATGCTGCAGGAAAACAGATCTCTGCAATGCTAAGCAGAGATCACACCACTTGTGTACTGGTGCGCTCATACACTTCCAGATGCATTCTCCATCTTCCCCCAAAACTGGGCAAATATTTTCACCTCCAAGCAGTTTCACAAGAACAGGCACCACTGCCTCCGGCTTTTAAGTGAAAGCAGCTACAGGTTCACTCACTGCATTGACTCGACTGGGATAATCTGTTCCATTTCCTGGGTGCTGCCTCTAATGCCCACACATCCTCCCCACTGGCTTTTGCCTTAAGCAAACACTATCTGGGGGTGGTTCTGCTGTAACAGAATTTCAAAGCAATTGCTTGCTTTAAGTTACAGTTCTAACCTACAAAAAGTAAACAAGCCCTCATAGTCCCCCCAAAAAGATGGCTATAACAGCATCACAATATCCTCAGAGAGAGATCAGGCATGTCCCACTCAGTCTCTAGTCACTACCTCTGCAGAAAAAAAACCCACCACAGCCCAGGAAACTTTCAGTCGACCCATATTCTTGATTTTTAAGTGTGCATGTGCTCCCAGCAGCTCTGTTATCCAGCTGGGAGGTGACTTCACCCACCTCTATTCGGGAGCCACCAGCCCATGTACAGTGTTAGATCATCTGCTTAAAGACTGATGCCAAATATCAAGTTCAATAAATTTCTGGGGATAAAGTTTGAATCAAAAAGGAAAAATAATACCTTGGTGTGATGCACTGGTCTTGATGACAGTCACTGCGAGCCTTCACCTCCGGCCAATGCATTCTCTCCCCTTCCTTGGCACCTCCACACCAATTCATCTCAGAGTGACTTCACAACCTCTCTGCCTAGGGCTTATTTTGAGTATATTTTAAATCTTTCTAAAAGTTAATTCTAAATCCTTCAAGTAGTTCTCTTTTTAAAATGATACTTGCACTTCAACTGCCAAATACTGAGCCAAGCTCTTGCTCTCAGCACCTCCTCACCTGAAGAAAATAAAAAATTGTCTGTCATAGACAAATTAAATGCTTTTCTAGGAGACAGGTTACACTACTAAGTACTAGATTTGCAACTCCTTCCCATCATGAACTCGGAAATTAAAATAACTTCTACAAATCAGTGGCCTTTTCTGTGATTCTGGTAAACTGGAACTCTCTCTGTTCACAATGTGCCCAGGAGCTGCGACTCTCATATGAACTCAAAGCTCTCCTGCTGCTGCCTTCAGGACTCTTACAGACAGCACAACTCCAGAAAAGGTGACAGAAAAGGGAGTAGCAAAAAAAAAAAAAAACACCCTCCTCTCACTTTATACTCCATCAAAGTCAGATGCTGGGAGTCTCTGGGAGGACATTCTCTGCCAGAGCAGCCCCGCTAACAACCCCCACGGCAAACGCTTTGAGTATCCTGTCCTGGCTTTATAAGCATCAAGGAACCCAGCCTTGGTTTCCCATGTTCCTCTTAGAGGGATACAACCTTTCCACATCCAGACAACTCAGCACCAGCTGGCATGAGTCACTTGTTAGCACAAACTACTTCCATGGTGCAAAAGCAGCGCTGCCCAGGTGATCAGCATTACCTGAGCACATTCTGCACCTCAGTAGGAGCTCAGAGCTCACACCTGAAGGTCAGCACACCTCCTAAACTCTTACATTCAACCATAGTATATTATAGGATCATCTTCATGTGATTTTGCTAAGGCACTGCCATTTCTTCAGCCGTTCCGTTATTTGAGGCTTCAAAGGACTCTGAAGCCCTTTGTGACATTCAACAGCAAAGATCAAAGCTCCAAAGTTGCATCATTAATCTGGTACACAAAACGACTTGAAAATATTTTAACTAAAGCCTTTTATTCTATACAACTGTGAAACATCGTTTACCCTTCTGGCATTGCAGACTCTTCTGTCAATCTTTCCTGTTACTTTGTTTCAGGATGGTTAGAAAGAAAAAAAAAAAAAAAAAGAGAAGAAAAATTACAACCTTGGCTGGCTTAAAAGAAAATTTCTGGGAGTAACTCCAATGTACACAATAGGACAGGAAGACAACGAGGAAACAAACCCAAACTTAAACAGTGCCTATTGGAATAAGCATAGACCCTTGATATTAATAAATACAAGTCAGGACAATTTATCAATAAAAGTTACAGTTCTGTTTAACCATTTAATTCACAAGTAGCGCTAAAAGTGTGCAGTTATAGCACAACTGTGTCAAACTAAGCACACACAGAAATGGGGATTAAAAACTGAAACTGACTCTCAAAAAACAGGGAAAATGACATGTTAGCTTAGTTCTGAACCATGGTTTGTCTCCAAGCAATGAGTTTGTTTTGATGGGTTAAGAGTGCAGAAGGGAAGGATTTGACTATTTTTTCAAATAAAACACAATGAAAAATATTCTACCTCTTGTTTGACCAATACAATCCCAGTAATATAATTTATTGGGACTTTTTTTAGGCCTCAACCTAAATCTTGATAGCAAGATACAGGAAGGGCAAGAGCATATGTCTCCTGAAGAAACTCCAATAATATACTGCCCCTTGAAGGCACTTGTGCTTCTGCTTCAGACAAGAGTCATTTTTACACCATTTCTCTACAAGGATTTGTAATTTGTTCTGGCTATTAATGGTTTTCTGGGATATCCCCACATTTTCTCACAAAAAGCTGAAATGCCTTTACCCCCCCCTCCCCCCAATAAGTTAAACCTCTATAAAAGATTACCATGAGCCTATGACAGTCACATATTTTTAGAAACAGCAGGGAAAACAAGATCTGCATAAATCTATAACAAAAGAACAACTGCATATAAAACTTCGGAAAAGAAAAATCAGTATTTTTATCTCATGAGTATGAAATCTGCACAGAAGTTTCTAAAGTTTAACATTAAACATATTAAGTTATATTCAGAATGGTTTGAAGTCTTAACAAAATGTCACATAGATTTGGAGCACAGTTACCAAAAATTAGACTAATGTGTCTTTAGAACGCCTAGGACACAGTGCAGGAAGTAGTTATATATATTTAAAAAAAAATCTCTAAGTTGCTGCAAAGCATCTTCACTCCATAATGATGCACAGCATCATTAGACTCACCCTGCTCTGATATTTTTCTAGTGTTTTATCTTGCACATCAAAGGCTCTCTAAAGCCATTAAAACAATTCTAAAGTTAACCCTTCTTTTACAATTAATTGGGCCAATTCATTCAAGTATGAATACAATACAATATGTATTTTCTGGGGTTTTTTTTTGTTTTGTTTTTAATTTTCCAAATTTCTTTTAGTGGCAGAAATCTTTGAGTAACCTGTGAGAAATCATTGCTGGAACTTTATGAATGGAATGTACTAAAAATACCTTGTGTGCAAGTCTGAATTACATTGTGAACACAGCAACTAATATGGCCAAACCAGTTTCATGTTGAGCATGAGCAGATGAGTATATTACGTTCTGGAAAAAAAAAAAAAAAAAAAAAGAAAGCAAAAAGGAGGAAGCAAAAGTCTGCACTGGGTTATCATCCACTCTCTGTACACCTCACACAACACGAACCACTCAGGGACTTCCCATCTCACTGACTGAGAGGAGGACAGACTTTAGTTTAAGTCATATGGATTTCTTTTTCCTCTATGTTACAGATCTATTAGTCACTTCAATTAAATGCATACTTCCTGTCCATACTGGGTGATTAGCAGTCTCATCTACCTTAGGGTTTCAGTGGGCTCCTATAGCACTACTCTTGGAACCAGTACAGTATGGTCAAGTAAATAATGAACCGCTTGGGTCCGTGCTCCCCTCACGTTGATTTCTGGCGATAGTGAAGCGTCAGGTCCCCTCCACTCTTCCAAATGAAGTGTTTTACAGTTCGAAGGTCCATATTCGGATCCAAAACCTGAAACAGCAAAAATTCATCTTTCACTCCACGGATCTGCTAGATGGTCAGATATTCCCAGGTAAAACACTCCTACGGGTGAACTGGTACCAGGATGAACCACGCAAAGGCTCAGATTTTTCAACCAGCGAGTAAACCTGATGCATTACTGAAAGATTTTAGCAATGTAAGATGTCACTTCATGTTACAACCACCTCCCCAGTACTTAATCTTCACGCACTTAAATAGGCAATTCATGGTTTTTGGACAAATTTTGAACACTGCTAAAAATACTGAGTTCCAAACATTAAAAAAAACCAAAACACCAGAACTCTGCAATTGCATTAAGTCCATTTGTTGAGTACGTAACCCTGTAAAAGCCACTAGTCAGAACAAATTAAACAGGCTTACAACAGAAGTTCTTCGTTCTGGCTATCTGCAAATGTCTGAACTTGTGTCATCTCCAAGTTGACGTGATGTCAAAACGTTTCCTTAGTTTTAAAGGTAGCAGATAATCTACAGAACATTTCAAGTTCAGGGTTCAAAAATTCATAACCAATTCATTGCTAGACGTTGGTTTTGATCACACGCTAAAACACCCAAGGAACTTACCTGGTCCTGGCACAGAAGTTCAATCTTCTCCTCTGCTAGCACAGCGATGTCCTCCTCTTTTTCTTGTTCTCCTGTTTTTTCATTGTTGGAAGAGCTGGTTGTCTGAGACTCATTATCCAAGTTTATGATTTTCTCATACACGTGTTCCATCACTTTCCTCACCTGAAGCATGTCACTTGCTGACAGTCGGTCTCTAGATAAAGGGAGAGAATTATGTGAGGAAAAAACTTGAGAAATTATATTTTTTACCCTCACAATACCTTAGTCTGTAGCAAACTATAGTCTCTTTATAATAGAAAGTTTAATAGTGAATTATCAGGATCATCCAGAATACCAGGATCACAACAGCTATTTATCCAAAGAGTCTTACAGAAAAGTGGTAAGATATTCAAAGGATTAGATTAAAATCAAAGCTTAGATGAAGAGTATTGCACTCCACCCTAATTCTTTCTATTGGAAGGCATTAGTAGAAGGTCAGAAGATTTAGAATTACAGAGCTAAGCCAGAAAATGCTGTTCACCCCACTCCATTAACAGAAGGACATTCTCCTGTAATAAGCAGCAGCACTTTTTCCACAAAGGACACAAAAAGCCTGTGAAACTCCTCTTTCAACAAACAGTCTCTGATGTGAAAAACTCAGTAAAACATAATAGAGAAACCAGGTGTTTGTGTAAACTACTGAAAACTGTTCTATATAAATGGCAGGCATACTGTCTATGACACTCAAGTCACATCAGAGTTGTCGATTTACAACCTACACAGCTCCCAGTTACATCTCACGTGACTGGTAGACTATATTGCACTGCCTACTGTCAGGTTTTGTACCTTTTCTTTTTAAAAAGCTACCATTCACTACTGTTAGCAACAGGAAACATAAAACTGGTTCTGAACACAGTAGCAATCTATTAGTTCCTCTGTTTTCTGATTAAGTATCACAAAAGACAGGAAATCTCATTTCAGTAATTAGTTCTTAGACATTTCTTAGCATAAATTTGAACAACTGACCACCAAACCCAAAAGACACCTCTAGTTCTTTCAAATATTCTGATATAACTCAATGCTTCAGAGCAATGCTGCTTAAATGATTAGAAAACAGAGAATTAGTTCGGTGGGTGTTTTTTCTTGTTTTGGTTTTGTCTATTTGGCTGGGTTTTGTTTGTTTATTTGTTCTGGTTGGGGTTTTTTAGCATGCAGTTCTCCTTCTGCAGTTTTTCAAGTCCAACATGCATTACTTACTTTTTTAGAGTTTTTGCCCCCGATGATGAATGAGGTTGGAGGTAGAAGGGAATCTTATTGAACTTGGGCATATTTTTCTAGAAGGAAACACATTTGGAAAGTGTTAATTTAGGATGAACCGTTGTCAGCTCCTATTTCCACCAGCTGGTATGTGAAGTATATTCAGCTCCTAATTATAAAAACCCATGAGAGATTCTTAATCAAGATCCCTACCACAGCCAACTTCCAAATTACTCATACTCCTGAGACACTTCAATTTAGATGATGCACAGATCATTGAGCTTCTGAATGTAAATTATCAGTTATTTCAGAGGCAATTAGACAGTATCAAAAGACAGCAGCAATATGAAGTGTATTCTCTGTTCCTGAGCTCCTCACTTGAAAAGGATACCAATTATGCACAGGGCTTTGAATTCTTTTCTAAGACTTTATGTCTGAAGAAAGTGAGCAAAAATACATTAACTAGACACATGAAAAAATCATGAATCTCAAAGGGTCTTGAATACAGACCTCGAGGTCACTTATTTTGAATACAAACAGAGCATAAATTTAAAACGTAATTTCAGACACTGCACAATTAAAAAAATCGTAGTACATCTTAAAAAAAAAGCCACAGTAAAAAAGCAACACTTATGCACACAACACTTACATCCACAGTGATGTCAATAACCCATTGTGGCACAGTTTCATTAAGAAGCATAGACTCGGTTTCTCCACCTGAATCCCGACATAATAACCTAAGACACACAGAAATAACCTCTGTGAATGAAAACAATTATTGCCATTTGCATTAAGAAACCTTCAGAAGAGGACCTGCCCTTTTAATGGGCAAGGAGAGCTTGAACTTTGTTAGCATCATCTGACTTATTGGGGAAGTGATCACTTCTTTTCTGTAAAGACAAGAAGTAGCTGTAGGAAAACAGATCCCAGAGCAGAAACAGGGAGTAGGATCTTAGGAAACTGAGGCCATGACACTGAGAAAATTTAAGAACCTACTTTGCTCTGGATTGTGTATGTTTGTGTGTTGAAGAACGATACTGCCAGGAGAAGGGGAAAGGCACCTGGCATAAAGCAATTCTTTTCTGCTTCAAATAAACGAGCTTTGATTTAAAGCATCTGCTAAGGCCTCACCAAATCAAAAGAATAAAACCAATTTTAGGAAATGTGCACAAACAATGATGAAACAAAGCCAGATAAAATTTTATAAATTCCAGTGAGATATTTTGTCAGAGTCCTACAAGCCATCTTATAGGTCCCATAAGTGTGGCTTGCTCCCTCCAATGGGGTCTTCCCAGTGTTCTCCTAAGAAGAGGCTGTGTAAGAGCTAAGATCCACCAGTATAGAATGGAGGCAAAGATTAAGCCTCAGGTACAATTTAAATACATTGATACTGCAGAAAAAAAAAGTCAGTTTACAAAGCTGGAACTGCTTTCCATGTTTTACTGACTAGTTCATGGACTGAAAGTTACATCATTTTTGGGCTTATTCAGCCTGGGAAACAAAAACAACAAAATCAAACATCTCCCATCCCTTAAATTTAAAATCCACTATGTCAGTCACTATCAGATACTTCATAGTGTTTCAAAGCTCAGTATCTGTTTTGCAGCACTAAAGTGTCTCTTATGTAAGAGACATAATTAGGCTTTTTCAGTGTAGAATGAGAAGAGCTAGAAGAGTAATTAGAATATAAAACATTACAACACAGAACCTGTGCTCCTACCTGCTAGAGCTTAGGAGCTTCTAATGGATCATTGGCTGTAATTCTGGGAGCAGAAACCAACTCTCTAGTAAGCAGGATTTCCTGGGATGAGCCATTATTTCTCAAAGACCAGCACAACAGACCCATAAGAGAAGTTCTACAAGAATTTAAATCTAGACTTTTATTCTAAACCAAATTTCAGTTAATCAGTTTGCAGAAAGTGATCTCAAAACTGTGAGACACAGATAAGAACTGTTGTAGAGTTCTTTACAACAGTAAAAACTCTTGATGTTCAAAGTCACATACACAGTTGGACAATGCCAAATTATCATCAACAGCTGCTTATTTTGCCTGCCAAGGGCATGTCTTGAATGTCCAGTACAGAATGAAAGCATTATATTTTGACAGTGTTCCTGCTTGCACAAAGGAAGTGATTGTTTAGTCGCTGAATTTACACTCTTGAGTTTTTATACCTGAACAAAGTGCGTCCTCCAGCCTCACCAAAAATAACTGGTGTATGCGGTGGGACTTGGAAGTATCCATTTCCTTTCTGGACTCTGTTCTCCTGCTCACCATTCACTGTTAGAAAAAGAAACCATCACAGCAGTGAGTCTGCAGTAGGCCTTAAAACTGGGCATCCATAGACCAAAACGTGTCTTTTCCACCTACAGCTAATTTATTTCATAAATTAACAAAATCATAAGCTTTATATAAAATAAGAAAATCCCTATTTCCAACACGCAGCAAGTATATAAGAAGGAACAGCATAGTGTAATGAGATCAAAACAGGTCTGTGGAAGGCCTATTTCAAAAGCCTTTGAGAAAGGGGAAATAGAGCTCAGGAGCCAGAACCCAATTACTAGGTTTTTTTCCATTTCCTTAACAGAATTCTAATTATTGTTCAATTTGTCAAATCCTAATATCAGAAATCAACCAAAGAGACTCGGCTGAGACAAGACTATTCTTCCCTTCTCCCCTGACAGTACAGAACTCTGAAGGATGTTGGCTTTTCTACCTGGATTTGCCAGGTGTCAAAACAGCATACTAGGAAAGCTCAGACTCACAGTTCCTTGAAGTTCCTACATTATAAATTCAATTTATTATAAGCAATTACAACAGGATGGTCTTCAAACACTGAAGAACCTGATTCCGTATCAACGGACAGGATAAGATTGAAGAAAAATCAGCATTACTTATGCCCCTACTGAACAGTGCAGCTTCCAGTCAGTCAGGTATCTTGAAACACAGTGCAGGAGAATTCAGATGCCTGCCTTGCACTTGAGAAAAATCATCTCTGTTACAGTGCAGCATCTAGTTGGTGTATCTGAACATGACGTTGACCTCAAGCAACGTAAGAAATTTAAATGGCACAGTCTCATGAGATGAATGATTCCTTAGCTTGCTAACCAGAAACACATGTAGTGAAAGAAAGGTCAGAAATTGTATTAAGCAAAGAAAATACAGAAAGAAAATCTATATTAGAAGGGACAAGCATGACACTGAAGTTACAGCAAGTGTTTGTTTCCTAGTTTGAAACCATAAAATTTCTCTTACCAGTTGAGAGGAACAACACTGCACATACACACACATATATACACATGTTTATTTAAAATCTTGTTTCTCTACAAAAATTCCAGTGTCCAACTTCATCTTCTCAAGTCACTGCTCAGTGTTAGTTTCCTCATTTTTTTCTTTTGAAACAAAATGAAGACTGATTTTGTATTTCTCATACCTTGTCTGGCTTTAAGCTGCAGATTGCCAATACACAACAGTGTGAGAATCAGCAACTGGATCCAGAAGAGTCTGCCAAGTGCTGTAACTCTCCATGGAGATCGTTTTTGAAAGAAGAAAGTAACTAACTCTTGGTCACAATCTTTGTCACAAAATGGCAAGATACTGCTGAATATACAGTTTCCCAATTGCATTATCTATCTGTAGAAAGTAATTTTTTAATCACTAAAGACCAGACTTTTCAGTCAACTCTGACCTGGCTTGAATTGATTGCAATCTTAGGAGTTACACAGTCTCTTTTATTCTGCCAAATTCACCCACTATCTTACATTTTACATAGCTTGTGCTTTTCATCCCGTGCCTGATTAGAATGAGCATTATTACCTTAAAACACCATTCTAAGGTGGTTTTCTATAGACCTACTCCAGGTATTATTATACCAAAGGTATTTCTTCAAATAAATCTTTCCTTTCTTTTCTTTTGTTCATAACACCTAAAAGAAAACTGGAATTATGTCAAGAAAACACTTGCTAATGTTGAATAACTGAACTATTGCTCTTTGCTGTCATTACCTAGGCTGCTTCTTCTCCAAGTCAAGCATTAGTGTGCCAGTAGCTGTTCTTCATCAAGGCATCATGTTTCTGTAACTTCAGAATTATTTGAATTCTTCTACTCACCTGCTTTTTTAACAGACTAGAGTTCTTAAGATTTTTGCTGATGCTTTCAAAAGTACTTACTTTACACTTTCTGGGTAAAGTAAATTTAAAAGGGCTAAAAGACACTAGTCCATAATGCACAGAGAGATGAGGGTAAGAGAGAGACAAGCAAATATGTTGTGTCTGTTCAAGGAACAGAAATAAATAAACAGAAGGTACAGGCAAATCCTAAAAAAAGGAAAATATTAAAATACTAACCATGGTTCATCTCATTTTCTTCTTCATCCATTGGATTGATATGTGTTCTAGGCCAATACTCCAGAAGTGCTTGCAGCAGAAGCCCTCCGAGGTTTACTGTCAAGACACAGTGAAGTGAAACTTCAGTTGCAGAAAAATTGTTGGCAACGTGATATTCCACATTTGGTCCACAGCCGAAAATTTCCCAAGTGTTTGAGCAGCTCTATTCCCAAAGCAAGCTATTTATGGCACAGAAGTCTGCTTATCACAGTCTCAGAGCTCTATGCTACAATCTTTCAGAAAAAGCTGATTTTAGAATCCCTGCTGTTGGATCACTCACGTGCTGTAACATTCTCTAGATCAGGTCACAGTTACTTTTTCCCTTTCATTTCTTGAAGGTTTGAAACCAAGTTAAGCAGAAAATCTTAACATGATGGAAATGTTTCAGAAAAAAGCAAACATTGTCACTGAAGAATTCATTGTGGAATTTAGTGTTAAGAAAATAACCCCTAAAATCCAACCAGCTACTGACATATGAGGCACTGGAATGCTTCAAAACATGTATACTGGAACTTTTCTGCCTTTTTTTAAAATAAAAATATTATTTAAAAAATAAAAAAATTACTTAAAACTTACATTTTGGATCAGAACCATCTGGACTGCTAAATCCAGCATCCTTTGCTGAAACCCAGGCTGCAAAGCAGTCACTTTCATCCAAAGTAATTGTCAACATCTGTTGACAAAAGACAACCAGGGAGAGGAATGCAATAGTTGTTTTGGATTAAACAAGTCTATAAATTTATAATTTTGTTCACACTTCACTGGGATTACAAACCAAAGAATTTCTAAATGCATGGCAGCACACACTGTTTACCAAACTGTATTAATACATAATTGGTATTGGTGGAACATACCACAAGGGAAAATATAATAAAAAAAATCTGTTATTCAGACTAAGAGCAGGGGTAAGATTTGCTGTTTTACTTAAAAATAAGTCTAATCCATCAGATAAGCAATGAACATTCTTCTAACGTTATAACAAACGAAAAGCTTTGTGAACAAACAGCATATGAAATGACATTAGAAAAACAGATGTAGGAGCTGTATCTCACCCCAGTTTTCAAGTCCACTGAGAACCAGTTTGGCACATACACCATTTTAAATCTCTTCTTAATTTCTTCCTCAAAGTCTACTTTCCCAAGGTCTTCAACTTTACATGCCTGCACGCCAAAACAAATTTCGAATCACATCAACACCCAGATCTTTAACTTGACTTTCATACACACGTGGAATGATTAGGACTTGTGATCTCTCCAGGAGTACTGCAGCCCAGAAACATGAAAGTTAAAGGTTCAAATTTTTCTCAAAAAATTGAACTATAGTTTATGTGGTAAGTAATTTTTATTTCAAATCTAGCAAATTCAGATCAACTACTGCAATGGGAACAGCACTGAGTGAATTTGTGGGTGAATTCAAGGGTCTGAATTTCAGGTGTCTGCCTCACATCAGGCAAAGATGCAGAGAAGCTCAGAAATGCCCCCCTCCCTTTTCAAAAGCCAAACGTTGCATGATGTCTTGAGACAGAAAGAAGACTTACTTTCTACCATAGGAATCTCACACACAAAGAAATATATATATATAAAAAAGGGAAAAAATAAATAATCATCCAGCAGTAGAAACTTAATCTGAAATAATATACCTACCTTCAAGACATCCCAGTATGCCACATTATTATTTGTGTCTTTGGTTAATATGTGTCTCTTGTCGTTAAGAATGTGGCACTGAATAATACTAGCACCCCCTGGCAAACAAACAAGAATTGAGGTCACTACTTATTTTCAGTCATTATTCTTTCTAATATCACAACAAATTGTGCAGCAGTACACAACACATGTACTGTTTCTTGGTATCACTTTTTTATGTAAGAATTGGATGCCACCAAGGTGTAAACACTATTGTAACTAACACTGGATAGACAATACCTACATTGCCTTTGCTTTAGTTCAAATCATAGTATCAAGTATGTAAAAATCTGAGTCAGTCTTAAAGTGTATAATTTCTGCTAATGGTAACAGATTTTATAAGGTCCTCTGGAAAACAGCTGTTTACCTTTTATAACTTGGTCAGGCTGTGTGCACAAGGGTGGTATGGGATTGGTACAATCATTATCATAATCTCCTGATGCTCTAAAATTATGAATTCCCTTCAAAGTCTAAAGAAAGAAACACAATAATGACACATTTATAATAATCTATAAACTCTGTTTTTATATATAACAACTGCCAGTTCATGCTGCTATTTAGATGTTCACTGTCCAGTTCCAAGAAAGATAATTTATTTCTAAAAGCACCATAAATAGAGAGCAAAGGAAGTAATTCAAAGCCTAATGCCTTTTGATCAATCTCAATATTAACATTTTATTATTTTTTTATAAAGAAACCTTACAGATCACAGTAAGTCACAGTCAAATTACAAACCAAGACTGCAATTATCAAGACTACTTAACTGAAATCACAGACTGTAAAATATATCCCTTACCCATTTATTCACAGAGGATTTAGTTGTTGCAACCCAAAGTGCTGGAGGAGGATCAGCTGATCTATCAAGTTCCATCTAAATAATAAAACACAGAAGCTTTCAGTCATGCTTAAATTAGTTTTCCTTTGATAATTAATATTGGTCTGTGTAGACTTGCTCCCATACTTGGAAGTATCTCAGGAACAGCACTACTTTCAGTTTACTACAGAAATACAAAGTTTAAAGGAAAGAAACTAAGCTGAAATATCTGAGAATGCAGAGACATTGTGTCAATTATTCAACAAATAGATTCTGGACATGGATAATAGTAGATGCAAGGTGTCTAAATAGCCCAGCATTTAAAGTTGCTTCTAGCAAGATGCAATCTTGTCTAATGGACAGTTTGATAAGCACTGTGTTTTCTGAATTCCTTTGCATTTAGACACTTCATATGGTTAAAACGAGAACATCAGAAGTTCTGTACTAATTAACTGATTAACTTAATACTTTTGGCTCTGCCATTTCTTAGCCAGTAATAAATCACCGTAGCCAAGCTATTACAGACCCCTTCTGATCTCTGTGCAGCTTGACCATACTCTTCATTTCCCATTTTGAACTAAAATTTCCCAGACTGTGACCTTTTCAGAGCTAAATTAGTATAGCCAAGACTGGATTTGAACATAGCCAGAGTTCACTCACAAGGAAAGCCAGACTGCCTGTATCTGTAGGTATCTCTTCCAACTGCACCCTCCTTAAACACCTACAGGTTCCAGGGTCACGTTACAGTTACAAAAAATGAAACATCGTTTTTTGTAACATGTTACAAAACATGTTACAGACAACAAAAAATATCCAAAAAGCAGCCTCTTCAGAAGACTCAGACTTGCACATGCAGTTTTCTCCAAGAACACATCAAGTTTCAGTGCTCAAAAAAACCACCATCAACTTTACTCCTGGTTCCCCTGAGTATGCAACAGATTCTAACACAGTCCTGAGCACATATGTTGCTGCTAAGAAAAATCTGTTTTTGTACAAAGCCTTGGCAATGCCAGCTCAGTTTCTTAAAACTGTACTAGAGCCTGATAAACTCAACTTTTCATGCCTAAAGCACATTCAATTTCAGTAATACTTCAATTTGCATATTTTCAGTAGCTGCCAGGCATCTATCTTCTTCAGACAATTAAGCTTCAGATGCAATTTAGGAGACAAAGCCAATCTACTAAGATGTGGCACAGCAAGCACTTGTTACCCAATGCACGTTCCTTCTATCAACTTACATCACTCAAGCCACTGTTTCGTTAGACAACATGCAACTACCCTTTTACACTGAGAGGGTGATGGAGCACTGGCACAGGTTGCCCAGAGAGGTTGTGAATTCTCCATTCTTGAAAATATTCAAAAGCCATCTGGACATGGTGCTGGGCAATCAGCTCTGGTGGTCCTCCTTGATTTGCAGGGGGACGGACCTCCAGAGGCCACTTCCAGCCTCAGCCATTCTGTGATTCTCTGAATTAAACTCAATTACCTTAAGAACTGGTGCTTTTTCTTCACAGATAAGCACACGGATATCAGGATTTCGTAAATCTGTACAGTAAATCTTCCTGTCTCTTCCTCCTGAATAAACATGAGTGAAGGCTTCATTGACCTGCAGAGCCCAAACACCTTCATCATGGACTCGATACGTGGCTATGCATCTCTGCTGCCCAAGCGACCACAGGCGGATAGTCCCATCAGAGCTGCCTGAAAGACACTGAGCAACAACCATCATACTTCAATCAAGCACGTATTTCAGTCTTTCAAAATACTGTCTTTTCCACAAAAAGCTTTGAAAATTCTTATGGTTATATTTTCACATGAAGATGGTGCCAAACGAAGACAGGCAAATAACAACTCTAGTCACAGTTTTATGTAAACAACCCCCTCCATACCCGGATGAACCTGTAATAAAACACAACTTTCACCCATCATCTTCCCTCCCTTAATCACTAAATATCTGTAATACTTGTAATCCTTCTGTAATCCATGACATAAAACAATTATATCGAAAAAGACTAATGACATTTCTGCATTCTCCGAAATGCCTTCAGCTCAGGTTAAAGCACATACCTGGGTGCCATCTCTGTTCAACAACAAAGCTTTCACATTGTCTGTGTGCCCTTTGAGTTTCATTAGTTTTGCACAAGTTCTTGGATCCCACACCCTTAGAACCTGCGGAAACAGAAAGTGCATAACTGGAATTAATACCAATCTTCCCACCAACATTTGCTCTGCAGAAATTAAAGGCTTTCCCAAATGAATTAATCTGAGCATACAGAAAACCATCGCTGTAACCATACATTAGAAAGAGACAGACATTATGCAAGTCTAGTGATCAGATGTGATCTTCTCTTGATTTTAATTTAATTTATTCTGGCTTCTTCAGTCTTAGGAAATAAAAAAATGGAAGTAACAGTAAACAGGATAGTGTGATGGGGGTGAAAAAGATTCCGAGAAAAGATGATTCATCGGTGTGTCCTGTTTTCATTTTTATATTGTCTTGGAAATAAAATTCTCTCAAGGTTAGATTAGGTAAAAAAACAACTTACAGGGACTTAAGCATGTTTCACTTTCCTTTACAACAAAGAACAAGGCTGTCTTTTGGGGACACTTGAACTTCATTATCTCACTTCATTTCCCACTTCCTGAAGGGATCTCACAAATTGATGGCACCGTTTCTTTCCTACCTGCAGCAACTGCTTCAATTTTTATAATCATCTGAGTCATGTGCCCCCAAAAATCAGAGCTCTTGTGGTGAAATGTAACGATTTCTGACAAAGAGAATGTTACACAAGATGATCTGATTGTCCCCCTGTGTATGAAAGCTGTATGGATATGTGACTTCCTCAGACTGAGGCAGGATTTGTATCCTACACTTGCATTCCCACTTAAAAGAAAAAAGTGTTTCCACTCACTATTGAAACCACAAAAGCTGCTACAGGCATGACACTGAAAATGAAGAAAACTGTCTCTCTATACTACACTTTGAACTGAAGTGGAATGACTCTTACCAAATTTTGCTTACCTTTTCAGTGGACCCTGATACAATAACTGTTCCCATTTGATTCATCGCAAGGCTGTAGATTGAGTCTTTGTTCCCACTCAGGGAAGAAGCTATTAAAAAAAAAATTACATATTCAATTTTAATGCTGTTATTTGAAAAAAAATGAACATACTTATTCATTCAAAACCGGTATTTTAATACCCTTTGATTCATGAAAATAGTGCCATTCTAGCCCATATACTGATTTGCTTTAAAAAAAAGAAAGACTATAGTCTGAATACTGCAAGGAAAACCCAGCCCAATTCTTAATTTACTGGTGCATAAAAACAACCCCTCAGATTCATGGTCATTACAGTCCTGGTGCACTTTTGGCACCATAATTCAGTGCCAAGACCATCAAGCTATTCTTTCTCAACTACTTTATTGGAGTATGATACTTCTACGTGATCTTGTAACACACAGCATTTGGATTTAAGAGCAAAAATTTTCTTTCCAAGCCAAGTAGCAGTAAAATTCTACATTTTATATTAAAGGCTCTTCTCCTCGTTCAGCAGAGATGCAGAGAAGTTACAGTGCAGTGCTGCAATGTGTTACTTGAGCACGGATGCTGCCTCTGAGTTTGGGCAAACCATATGCCAGCTCTTTAGCATCACACCTACCATCAGAGTTGAGGAATTCTGTGCCATCTAGGCTAATCCACTTTTGGAGAGAGTAAAATACCAGTCCCTCAACTGAGAAAAGCACAGACACAGCAAGTGAAAGTCATCTATTTAGAGAGCACAATCAAGCAGTTCATTAAGCCTCAAAATCCATACCATCAGTATGCCAAGAAGGCTGAGAATAGCAACAAACTGCAAGGTCAGCGAAAACGTGAAACTTCACATAATGATTTATGTATATCATGGAGCTAAGTTTCCAACACAGCATTTGTAACCTAATATCGTAATATAATACTGCCTTTTGTCACAGTGGAGGAACCTGTGTCAGGGAAGGTTTAGGTTGGATTGTGAAGAGGTTCTTTAGCCAGAGGGCAGTTGGGCACTGAACAGGCTCCCCAGGGAAGTGGTCATGGCACCAAGCCTGACACAGCTCAAGAAGAATTTGGAAAACAACTGTCAGACACACAGTATGATTTTTTGGGGTTGTCCTGTGCAGAGCCAGGAGTAAAACTCAATGATCCTTGAGGGTCCCTTTCAATTAGGGTTATTCTATAATTCTGTGAAGCACTATGCAGTTTTACTTTAGGGTCCTCTTAGTCACCAGTTATGGTTATCCAAATGTAAACTGTCAACGAAATATATTTACTCAGAGGCAAAATATAGTGAGAATCTTCCACTATCCACAGAGAACAGGTAAAGGCAAAATGCAGAACTGAAGACTCATGGAGGTTAGCACACTGTTCAACAACCATAATAATTCAGGAGAGGAAGATAACACAGAGTTATCAAAAGCTGGATATCAGGAATGGAAGAGAGAATCTTAAATGTACACAAGCAAAGTTTATGCCAGAACAAAAAACAAAGCTCAACTCCATCCTCTTCTAGAAGGGACTTCTTGTCAAAAGCAAAATCTCTCTGCTTAATTTGAGTTATGGCTGTGCTGACTGAGAGACTCTTTAAAAATAAGATTCCTCTTAATGCCATCTTGTGTACATTGCTTCCAGGCAATCAGATGGGAAATTAATGTACAAGAACAAGCTTCATTTGTACTCTGAAAAAGAAAATTATACTGTTTCAAAGGACTTGGGAAAACAGCTTCTTTGAGGATATTTACTGTGTTCTTCCCAACAGAAACACTACTATTTGGGAGCACTAAAAAAAAAGAAAAACAACTCCTCTGATTCCCTTTCCTCCCCCTCATGAAGTATTTGTGTTCTAACTCTAGAAATGCAAATTTACCCCTGTCATCTTAGAGGTCATGTCTCCACTTCCATTTGATCTTTGGCAAAAAACAAGTGTCAGCTCTGCAGTACTCCTCATCTCTGATTTACTTGAATCATTTAGGTTCTGTATCACTGTAGCAGTGTACAAGAAATGCTGTGGGGTTTTTTTAATTATCTCACAACTGAGTTTTCCTATCAGCTCACAAATAGATTCTTCCTTCTAGAACTCTACATTCAAGTAGAATATGGAAAACCTTACAGTTATCAGCAAGGTTTGGCTATAAAGTAACTCTTTCAATGCAAATAAATAAATAAATACAATGATTTTACATTTCTGGGAAATAGAAAGTAAATCTCTTTAGGTAGCTCCAGTTGTGTGCCATTCCAGCACTATTCTGCAGGGCAACACAGCTCACTAGAAGCCATCTCTCTTCCACTGGGCTACTCAGACTTGTCAGCATAAGGCTATACTTGAATTAAAGTCCTGTAGACAGAGCAAATGCCAAACTGACAGTTCTGCCCAGCAGATGCACCTTTGGTTTCAGAAACCACCCAATCCATAAAATTAACACACCTTTCAGAATCATCCAAATACAGCAATTCAAAAAACCCCCCTACAGGCCTGTCTCTTACTTACAGAATCGCATATTCCTGAAATTTCTTAAGAGTATGTTGTGCCACTTCCAAATTTTAGTTTTGCAGCTTTTCGTTGAGTTATTCCTAACCTGTGACTGAGGAAGCAACTATTCTTATTTAGAAAACCCAAGTGTGGCAGTGTGCAAGCTGGTTCTGTTCTTTCCCAATGCATCCATCAGACTGTGCTGTGTTAAAACATCTATCAAACACTAAATGAAAGAGATCAGTCACTTTGAACAAAATTCTTCCAACCTACTTAACAAGCAGCAGACACCTCATTCTGAAAAAACCTGTGGTAAAACAGCCAATACAAATCAGAATGCCCATGACCCAGATCTGTGCTATTGACTGGAGCAATCAAACCCAACTGGACCTGAAGACTGGTGTGACACTTCCCAGAAGAGAAACTTAATCAGCTCTACCCTGATTATTCTAAGAAAGTGGTGTTGGAATTGCTGTGTAAGGAAAGATCTCATAATTTACTATGACGCCTTTACAGGGAGAGGGAAGCAGAACAGATCACTTCCTGAAAGATGATGGTGACATTAGGAGATAATCATGATGAGCAGAATCTACAGTTTCCCCTTGCCTTCCAGTATCTAGTGAGTTATATCTCACCAGTCCATTATCTTTATCAGTGCTTAGTATTAATCTGCATGGTTTTTTAACTAATTTAACTACTAACTTCATTGTTCCGATAGAGAAATTCGATAAATTTGTAAGTCCTGCTTTAGGAGCTGTACTGCAATGTTTTTTCAGCATCCATGCAAACAAAAAACCAATCCCAAATTATAATACACAAAAAACATACAGACACATAATCCAAGAGAAAATTTCTGTGACAGGTTAGTTGAGAAGCAAAAAAGCTTCTCAAGCTAAAGTTCTATCAAGTTTCAGAGAAACCAGCACATCACATTTCAGGAGAAAAAGTTCAAAGAGACTTGTCCTCTATTCTAAATGCCATGACTGCTGGCTGCTCTAGATTTCCAGCTATTATATAACACAACAAACGCATTGATTGTGTACTAAAACCACCTTAAAATTTCTTGCACATTTTTTATGTACCGACAGAAAGAGGCATTTATGGTTTTCAATTGATCTCACAGATTGTGCTACTCAATAAAATGCATTGAATTTGCCTCCCCTCCCCAGGTACCTACTTGTTACAGTGTTATTTGAGGCAGTCAGTGCTGTTAGAGTATTTACATCCCAGAGGAATATCTGTCTGTCCAGCCCAGCAGATGCTACCAGCTCCTTGTCTTTTGCATATGCCAAGGCTTTCACATAATCCTACAATAAAATAAATACAAGAACATGAACTGACCACGTCATCCATTTGAAGCCTACATCTTAATAATGGAAAGAACGGCAGTGATCACACACAGTATTTACAGAAAATGTTTTTCACCTTATGCGTCCTTAGTGTTGACATGCAAAATCCCTTATGTGCATTCCACACTTTAACAGTAGTATCTGAAGAAGCAGATATCACTAAATTGGAAAGAATAAAGACTAAATTTTAGTGGCTTATATATAACTTTCGGGCATATCCATACTACTGTTTTATAAAAAAAGATTGAAACAATCGTTTATATACACATTTCAATTTTCATTAAAATGTCTGCTTACCCTGTTTACCAAATTTACAATAGACATCACAAATTGATTTTACACGCTAAGAAAAGATGGCAAATAATTTAGCAGCAGATAATTTACTTGTATACGGCCTCTGAATGCTGTAGTTCTCAAACTTTCAAGTACTTACATGTTTTACCATTGCAGCAGAGCACAATGTCATTTACCCAATCTGTGTGGTGTTCCATAGATGCTATATAAGGATCTTGCTGCAAATTAAGGAAAAAGAAGTTTATAAAATCTCATCACAAACAGAAAAGATTGTGACGATCGTATCCTGCTGTAATATTTTATTCAACCTTCAAATGGATCTAAAGTTCCCTTATCCAAGGTTGTTTGAAATCACTGTTCCAGAACCCTTTTGTGACAGAACTAAACAGCTATGTGAGGGTACCACAGTATGAGCAATGTTAAAATTATTTTGCTATCATAACAATTGGCAGCTGTTAAAAACCAGTATCAGATGTAGACCTGTGGACAGCTTGCCTAACTTGGAAAAAAAAGGTGTAGACAGGAAGCCTCTTGTGCCTGACCTTGTGCTGATTGACACTCCATATCCTTATGATGGAGTCCCGGCCTGCTGTGAAGAGTCTGTTCAGTGCTGGATCCAGCTGAAGTGCATTTACCCCATTCCGATTGTACTTCTCCACCTCATCTCTAATCACATAGGAGACCTAAAACACAGTTGCACAAGTCCGATTAAGGTATTAAGATGTTGACTCGGCCACAAAACCCAAACATCCAGTTTCATCTTTGTGAGGGTCTTGGGTAGAAAATATGAGGAGTTTTACAAGCATTAAGTCTGTAGGTTTGAGAGTTACCAACACCACCTCAGTCATTTCCCCCTCAAAAATGGGGAAGAGTCACAGAGAAGATATCAGCAGTGCTAGAACTGGAGCCCAAAGGATTATTTAATCATTACAATTCAAGCTTAGTTAGATCCAGAGAATCCTTAGTTCGATTCCCTGCTTCATGTGCATATTATGGGTGCTCTTAGAAAACACACTGAGTTTGTGTCTCACTTCCTAAGAAGGTTCCACAGTTTCCATAGCTGGGATGGCAGTCTTTCCCAGTCTCAAAAGGGAGAGGATATGGTCACTAAGGATTAAAGCACTGAAAGACTGCAGATACAAATTCAAGCTATTTCAGGTGTTATTATTTTTAAACCATTTTTTAAAAACCTACCTACCTATCTGCCAATATAATAAAAAGCTCAAATTTTGACTGCTCTTTCAGATAAATGATTCCTTTAGTTTTTTTCCTGCTGTGTTTGACAGTACTGTGTGTAAAGGTTATTTCGTGGATTTGTCCAGAAACACTAAAAGGATATTTCAGGGGACTCTACAAAGGCCACAGCACTCTCCATTATTACTGTTCAGTAAACACAGTTCTAAGGCACTGCAGTTTCTTCAGAGCTACTCCACTCACACTGTGCTGCAGCTCTCCTGATCCCCAGGTTTACTCAGGGTTTATATGCATTACTCTGAGGAAAGCCCTCACACTTAGGCAAAAGGAGGGGAAGCTGCCAGTTATGCCTCTTCCCATATTCTGTAACACATAATCAGAACAAGGCACAATTTCATGCTTGGTATAATCAAATCTGCTCAGAGCAGGAATCATTTGGATACACAAGTACGAGTGTTTTGAACATGCTTACAGGTAGTCTTGGGCTAGAGATCTGAAAGCAATTTTTCACTCCAATAACTATTAGAGTAGTATAAAGAAAACATTTTCCAGAGCAGATCTCAGTTACACAGAATAAAACCAACAAATTAAAATGTTCAGTGGTCCTTACCACTGAAGAAATATTTTACAGCATCTCAGATTCTGTACCATGAGAACTGGCAGATCCATTTGGTGAATGTGAGCAACACCTCAACTGAATTATCCTGTCCCTGTGCAGCACAGTAAAAGAACTGATGCTTCCAGAAAGCACATGTCCAGTGCTATTCTGTTTGAGAGGAGCTGCAGCAGCTCTTTAGACCAACACAGGAGGATCAAAATTAAGAGCCTCCTGAATCCTTCTGCCTTAATACTCTCCACTACCATTTCACAAGTCCTTTACTAGAGTTATTAATGTTATGTACCAATGCTCTTAAAACACTTTTTGCTCATATTCTGCCAGCCACTCAAAGCCCTTGCAGAGACACAGCTCTTCCTCACAGTTTTAGATTGTGTCCTAATTTCCAATACTTTCAGCTGCTCTCATCCATTCCAGACTCATCCATAACGTTCTTGCTATCCGTGCTCCACCTACACACAGCTTTGGAGACACTACTGAGAGAAGACACCATAAACCACCCATAGCAGCATTATGTTAAAGCACTTCAAAGAGTTCTAAGTTTTTGGGTTTTTTTTAGAGAGCAAGATGCATTTGCAACTCCTCAGTTGGGCTTGATGATATCATGTCTACACTGCTAGAAGGCACATAGACTGCTGGAGTTAAAGGATTTTACAATGTCAAGGTTTAACATGATACAAAGCACAAGGTGAAGGAATGACCACCAAATTCATGCTGCTTCCAAACTCTTTGAGGCAAGCTGATAAAAATATTCAGTTAAAAATACTGTGTGCGAGCAGGTAAGAGGCAAATTAAAGGAATTCAAAATTTAAAGTAGATCAAATTTGATGTTAGTAGGGAGAACAATACAGTGTCAGAGTCAAACTCAGCAGGACCCTTCAGCTCCTGCTTCTCGCAACTGCCAGCAGGATATATTTCGATGAATTTTCAATTTTTGAATTTGTTCCCCTTCTTTCAGTCACCTCTCATATTTGCTATATTTTCAGGTGTAATACAGAGCTCTTGATTCCACTCATAAATAAGACTGTCACACTATGTTAGTCATCCAAGCATTTTAAAGGAGTTTTTTGCTCATACTAATGTTACTTTTTTAATTTAAAGGAGTTCAAGCAAAACAAAGCCCTTAATTCTTTTTAATAACTTCCACACACGAATTAAGTAAAACATCTCTTGGCAAGTATTGTTTTCATTTTGAAAGAACTGGGACACAGAGAGGAGTTACATTGTTTTAGGGTTAGCGAGTCTATCTATGCTGGATCTCAGCACCAGTTCAGCATTAAAATCAACACCATCCTTCTTCCTGGGAGAAACCTGAGAAAGTAGCTCTGCTGTAATAACTGAATTAAACAAGATTAAAATCTTATTTCTTACTATTACTTTTTTTTTCCTGTAAATACGTGACAGCTTTGATGGAAAAAAATACAGCAAAAGAGCTTGACATAAAATTCCCCAGCAGTGACTGCTACTGTTCACAGAATTCAACCAGTTACTTTTGTCTCTGCTCAGACTTACAATTCTACAAAGTTTTATTTACCATCCACATAAGGAGTAGGATTTTTGTTTTCCTGATGAAACTGTCTTAAAAATTTAAGAAATAAGGGCAGAAAGGAAAAGAAATCCCTATTGTATAAAGAATCAGTAATGACCACTGTCTGCCTTTCATGGGAAGAAACTGTGAGGGCCATTTTTTCAGTGATAAAAGTGATTCTCATCCAAATTATGCATGTGCTCCTTAAAATTGTTTTTCTTTTTTAAATTTCTAATACTAAAAACACAAGTAGAGAAAATTAAGATGAAAGAAAACTACTTTGTGGTCGGCAAGCTGATGGGATACCCAACATTTCACATGAATACTGTGATTTGAGCAGTCAGGCAAGTACAAGGCAAGCCACTTGTCCTGAAGAAAGTATGAACTAAGAAAGATGACTATGGCAAAAAGTGGACTCTCCAACTCATGTTGGAGGCCTAATGATATCCAAGCAACTACCCACTGCTTAGATTGAAAATGCTTAATGAAATTTTCTCATCCAGAATAAAAAAAAATGTTAAAAGGTTCACTCCTGCCAAGTAATCATCGAGACTAAAATAAACATTTTGTATATTAAAAAAAAACAGAACAAGACACATGGCATATGTGGCTGAACCAAAAATAACCTCATGAGACATATGCTGAACACCTCAAGGAACCCTTTGGAAAGAGAGATATAACACCAGAAGCATCCAGGCTTGTACTCAAATGTGTTAATTCTACATTAACACAGAGGGGAAAAGTTAAGGGATCCACAAAATCTGTCGAAATGCACTGGGAACTTAAAACTGATCAATAAAAGTGACAGCAACTTGATTTAAAAGAGCTTACACTTGTGTAAGAGTGGTGAACATACATACCCACCAAGGCCACTAAACTAAAAGAAACACTAAGAAGAATAGAGGAAGGTTCTCCATTATCTTCTTATTTGCTGGGGGGAAAGGTCAGAAAGTGCCTTTTTGTTTGGTTGGTTTTTGAGTGTCACTGAGTATAGAAATAAGAAATATTAGTAAATCCAGTGAGTATACAAACAAATACAAAATATAAAGTATATATTCAAGTGCGTGCATGCACAAACATATCTAAAGAACATAAAAGCAGTAAGATTTTGGCTGAGGAGAAACTGCTGTGATAAAATTCTCCTCTGCTCCGGAGCACACACATTTTATCCCTGTATATAAAGTCCTGTGCCCTGCCTGGAAAGGGCTGTGGAGGTCACCAGGAAGTGACGGCTCTGAGCCCTCAGTGGCATTTGTTCCAAGCAGGACAGGCTGGAGAGCCATCCCTGTTGTGCCCAGAGTCAGTGAAAAACCAGAGACAACCCTGACTATGACACAGATCATCCAGGGTTTACTGCCACCATCCGAGAGGGACAGGATTTGTGGGATATGGGACATTTTAATAATGACCCAGGTCTTTGACAGCAACTCTGCTGCAGCTTTTATAAACTCCCCATGAACAAGAATCTTTCACAGCAGCACAGCACAAAAAAATCACAAGGGGATGGGCTCTCACTATAAAGAGTTTATGGGATTCAGTACCCTAAACGGATCAGGATTAATCATTTTAATGACTACCTAAGAGCTCCAGAGATAAAGCTTCTGTCAACAGATGCATTTCAGAACACAAAGACAAGTGAATTTCTTGCAGGACCTACGATGTGTTTCTTGCATGGATGAGTGTATCAGCTGATCTGGAGTCTTGTTACCCTTGTTACAGGACGTGTCTTATAAGAGATTTTACCTTCATAGATGGGTAAAATCCACTATTAAAAATACCACCACACCATCATGTGGAGGAAACAGTGACAAGCGGAGCTCTGAGGACACTCATCCCTTTAAGTAGAAAAAAAAGAAATTCCACAAGGCAAATATTACTGTGAACAATTAAAAAAAAAAAAAAAAGATATCTCATGGAGGATTCCATGAGATGGTAGATGAATTGCATTCAAAATGGGAGTAGCAGCAGTTAAGCAGCAAGAAAAAAAAAATCTATTGCCTTAGTATCTTGGTAGAGCATATGCATCCCTAAAAATATGGATTTTAATTAAGAACATATTATTTGAATTCTTATCAGGGTCTTCAGGCTATAGAATAAAAGTAATGGAAGACATTAAAAAAAATCATTTTATCCTTTTCTAATGGAATCAACTTACTGGCTATTTGATTGCTTAAGGGTTTTATATGAAATAAATATAATTTACAAATATAACTTGTATATTTACTACATATAAAATATAAAAAATAATACATATAAAATCTAGTAAGTTCCAGTAGTAGTGCATAAAGACGACCAATTCAGTGCAAAAAGATCACAGAATCTTAGAATGGTTTCGCTTGGAAGGGACCTTAAAGTTCACCTTGTTCCACTCCCCTGCCATGGGCAGGGACACCTTCCATTAGACCAGGTTGCTCAGGGCCCCATCCAGCCTGGCCCTGAACAATTCCAGGGATGGGGCATGAGATCATCTTATTCTGTACAAGGCTTAAAGACAAAAAGTACTGAAAATTCAATAATTTTATAAGGATGCTGATCCAAAACAGTTATGGCAAAATTCCCACATGTTGTCAACAGGTTTTGAGTGTGGGGGTAAATTTATTCTGGCCAGGGAGCAAGTTTGGGAGAGCAGACACAACACAACCCCTTAAGGGCAGCTACTTCAAGCCACCTGCTGAGAAGTGGCTTCATCTGGATTTAATTCCCAGGAACAGATCTGAAAGTACAGCATACAGCCAAGAGCAGTGTCTGACACACCTCTGCATCCTCATCCCCTTCCCAATTCAGACAACCTCACTCCTGCAGCCCTCAGAGAAGCCAAGCTAAGCTTAAGAAACACCTGTCACTGGACATTTCCAATGCCATTTAAATAATTAAACTTCTTTCCTTTTTCTATGCATGGAATTTATTTTGAGGCCTAAAGCATCTACTCTGATTAAACCCTTAGAAACATAAAACTATATGCAGAAACACCCTAAACTGACTATTTTGGAGGGTTTTGCTTACCAGTAAAACTGGTGCATCCAAGATAATAATAGCTCTGATTTCCATAAACTTCATCCATGTAAGGAATCAAGTACTTTCATACCCGAGAGGTGTTTTTTGAAAAAGCTTCTCATAGCCTCATACATCTGGGACAAATTTCTCCCTCTGTCCGTCTGTCTCTGATAGTTTCATGTAGCAGCACCCTAAATGCTCAGCCATTGGCAAGCAAAATAATTCATGAGTGGTTTTATATTTCCATTAGCAGCTGATGGATAAAACAGCCACTTACCATTCAACTACACAAACAGAATCCTGTCTCTGACCGAGCAGGTGAAACAATAAGAGGGCAAGAAAAAAACACCAATAGCTTCTGCTCAAGGCTTTATAAATGTTTATTATGGAATGGTTTGGGTTGGAAAAGACCTTAAAGGTCATCTTGTTCTTACCCCCTGCCATGGCCAGGGACACTTTCCACTAAACCAGGTTGCTCTAAGCTCCATCCAACCTGGCCTTGAACACTTACAGGGATGGGGCATCCACAGTTTCCTTGGAAAACAACCAAAAAACTGCAGATCTAGACTTCTGATGCACCAGTTGAGACACAGATCACTGCAGCAGTACATGAAGTGGAAAAAAAAAAAAAATCACAAAACCCAATGAGAACAGAAAAGAAGACATCATAAACCAGCACAAAACCACCCGTAAAAACAAGCTTTTGAGCTAAGTAATGCATGGAAAACAAATGTAGTAGTAAATAAGGAAACAACGTGCTCTTTGATGCATGCTGCTGTCAGGGAAATACTCTTTCATAAATAGGACACATCAAAGAAATATCAAGGTATAATAAAATCCCCTTCCTTAGGAGTGCAACCTGCAAAAACTTGTTTATGGCAGAGGCAATCAAGTCAGTAAAGGGATATTACACTTGGGATTTTTTGTATTTTAAAGAATGTCCAAGGGATTTTCTGGTAGAGTAAGGGAATTCTTTATACAACAGCGACTGAGTGCTTCCCTTAACCACACAAAACACTAAGGGTTCTAAAGAGGTGCACTCTTCCTCTGTGTGGTAAAAGTCAAAAGATGTGTTCAAAAACCAAACCCACCTCCGTTTGGAAGGATCTTAATGCTATTCCAAGCTTAATCAATATTTTATTTGATCACAGTGGATAGATACGGCTGAAACTTGCACTTGCCACTGGACAGCCTTGCACATTGATAAAGCATTAAATCTTTTCCACAGTGAAAGCTGTAAAAATGCCTTAAGGGGTGGCAGCATCACAAACAAACAGCAAAACATTCAGAATCATAAAATAAAACCATTTTCATGACTTTTATTGTTAAAGAATCTTGACTTTTCATACACACTTCGGTAATTCCAGTCTCTACCAAGGCTACAATGATGTACCCCTAACTACACATGAGCCCACACCTCTGAGTCTAATCCTTTGTCAGGTGTGCTCTACACCCTCCAGACTGTCTGTGACACAGGTTTCCTTCAGCAAATGCTGCCAGGAGCTGGGAAGGACCTAATTTTGAATTCTGAACAGAAAAGGTCCTATTCCCTGCTCATGTGTGCAAAGGGCCAGCGTTTAACAGAGACAAGGCACTAATCAGAAGTCAAAGCAGCGGTAAGATGCAAAGCAGATCATAAAATGGTTTGGGTTGGAAGGGGCTTTAAAGACCATCTGTTTCCAATGCCCTGCCACGGGCAGGGACAGCTTCCACTAGACCAGGTTGCTCAAAGCCCCAGCCAACCTAGTCCTGAACCCCTCCAGGGATGGGGCATCCTCAGCTCCTCTGGGCAGTCTGTTCCAATGTCTCACCAGCCGCACAGTAAAGAATTCTTTCTAACACCCAATTTAAACCTAAACTCGTTCAAATCGAACCCACTCCCCCTTGTCCCGCCACTACAAGCTCTTGTTAGTAATCTTGCCCATCTTCCCGGTAAATTCCCTTCGGACCTGCCAGCCCGGGCGCTCCTGCCCTTGGGTCTGATGTTCCAGACGGGAAACGCACACCCGAGGAGATGTTCTCACCCTGCTCCAGAGGGAAACACAGCGGGTCGAGCGGCAAGGAACCTGCAGCTCCGCCGCTGCTGGGAGTTCACGTTACAGCCGAGGCGGGGCTGCGGGGGAGGGTCACAGGTCCCTCGGTCCCAACTTCACCTCCCGCTGTGGATCACCTCCCAGCCTTCGGATCAGGGCTGGTCCAGCTCTGCCTCCTGCGTGTCCCGACCCCGCCGGGCAGAAAGCGGCGGGCTCACCCTCAGTCAGCCGCTCTCCCCCGGCGGGCTCTGGTGAGCGACACCGGGGGCGTGCGGCGGAGCCTGCCCTCACCGCAGCGCTGCCGTGAGAGAGGGGCGGCCGCGCTGCCACGGAGAAACCCCCAGGCCCTGACACCGCGCGGGCGCTGCCGCAGCCCCCCCCGCGAGGGTCCGGGCTCCCGCTGGGGCCGCCGCGGCCCCGCCGCGCCCTCACCTGCACTTTGCGGCGCCCCGCCGCGTTCTGCCGGTGATGCGCCGCCATCTTGCATGTTGACACTGTGGCGTCATGTCCGACCGGAAGCACCGCCCCCCGCGCGCCCCGCCCGCCCTCGGGTTTTATAGGGGAGAATGGTGGGGGCGTGGTCAGTGGGGGCGTGGCCAAAGAAGGGGCGTGGCCAGAGGTCCCGCCATGTTCCCTCAGAGCGGCCCCCTCAGTCCCTGAGGGGAGGTTGGGTCGTTCCTCTTTCCTTTGCTGTTCTCTTAATATCCCGCTCTGTGCTGCCGCAGTTGAAATCATAAACAGAATCGGTTTTATACGTGTTAATAGTAATCGGGTAATTTTTTAATCAGGAGTTTTGCGCATGCCGATAATGACCAGAGGGTTCCTGTGTGTGCACGGGATAATCTGGTTGCGTTGCCGAATAGCAGGTAGGGGTGCTGGTTAGAGCATCGCTTTGCGGCCTTTTGGCTGAGATCAAGCGCTCTTCTCAGTATTTGTTCCTATCAGTTTAATATCTGATGCGTCCTTGATGAGAGTACTTTATATTAAATGGGTTTTTGGGTGCAGAAGTTGGACCCAGAGGTTGTTCCCTCCGCTCAGCGCATCCTCCCAGTATTGCAGTGCCTCCAGGACACTTTTTTTTTAGGACAAGAAGTATTCCCATTCTTCTTCAGTGCTGGCTGCAACCCTAAGAAGAAGACATAATGATTACTTAATTACTTCTAATTTACTAATTTTTACTTTTGAACATGGTGGGGTCTAAAATGGTGTGTTGTATTACTTGAATGCCTTGCATATGCAGACATAGACTATGATATCCCAGGAAATGTTAGTCACACAAAAAGGTTAAATAGGATTTCAGATCACCAAGTTTCACATCCTATGAAGTACAGCCTAAATACAGTAATTTCAAGCAGTTACATCTGAGTCATGCCCATAAATTATATATAGGCTACAACACTTTTGATTTTCAGCCATGGAAAATCTACCATGTCCTTTGGGGATTTTTTCAGTGGTTAGCAGCTCTTAAAATGCATCTCTTCTTCATATCTTGAATTTATGTAGCTCTTATCCCAACTGCAGAACCCAAAAGAGCTTTTCCTGGAGGATTAGAGAGGCCTTTGTTTATGCAAAACATTTTCTACTTGTTGTATATAGTTGTAGTACTTGTAGACTAGTTGTATAATTACACTTTCTTAAAAGGGGGTTGGAAGTGATGTCCTAAAGCCAATTAGTTCCCATTTTAGCCCAAAACATCATCAACTCCACTGATGTAATTCCTGGAGATATCTGTTTAGTCTCTAGTTGCAACAGATGGTGAATCCAAAACGTTCATATGCAACATACTCTACTGCTTCATTATTCTCACTACCAAAAAAAGGTTTTTCTTGTGCTTCCTCTGAATTTTCTGGGCTGCAGTCTGAGTCTGTAACTTTGTGTTTCCCTCTTCACAGACAGGAAGATGAGTTTATTCCACATTTCTTCTTAACTATTTGAAAGCTATCATGTTTCCTTTCAACTTCTCTCCCGTAGACAAGATCCATTTGAACTTTACATCACAAATTCATACTTCTAAGGGCTCCAAATCACTCTTACAGTGTATTTCTAAAATCTTTCAACATTTTGTTTGAATACTGTGACTGTCAAGCCTCACAAGAGAGAATGCAGCAGCACACAGAAGAATCTGGGAAGTTCCAGAACATTCTTGAAGCTACTGTGGTTAAGGAAATCTAATCTTTATACTCTTCCTTATTACAATGATTATTCACTCAGTGCTTACATTCTGCACATTTTCATCCTTCCTTCTCTCCTTATCTCAACACCTGGGCTTCACTCCTGAGACCCGTTGGGTTCTCCACCACTTCCTTTTTGGCTCAACATCTGTTTGCTCACTGCAGTGTTCTCAGAAATTCACAGTTTAGCTAAAGAAGATCAGATTTTCATGGAAATTGAAAAATAATTCCTAGACCTATATATACACCATACTCCTTCTCTTCCCAAACCGAAAGCAAACAGCTAATGTTATAGCCTAGATCATCTTACCACTTTCCTACTAGGGAATAACACAAACATGATGAAAGACTGAAAGATTTACTGCATAAAAAAGAAAACCTTGCTTACCGTATTTTTTTCTGTAATATTGCACTTAGTTCAGGCTTTATAAACATACACACAGAAAACAGAAGATTACTGGTATTATGATACTCATATTTTTGGCAGCCCTCAGTATATATGATCTTTGTTGGACTAGGCAATCTCCAGAGATCTCTTCCAACCACAGTGTTTCTGTGATACAAAGGGATCACTGTACTTTTTTTCACCTTAAAGTAATGAATCGTTGATCTGACAGATTGAACAAACGCTGCATTATAGGCATCAGTAGCAGCAACAATCCACTAAAAGTTCTTTGATGCATAAAAAAAAGTGAACCCAAATTTTTAAATTGTATAAAAATGTAAAAAGCAAATGTTCTCTGTCTATAAACAAGTTAAATTTCAAATCAAATATACAATAGGTGATGACTGCCCTTGAAGACACAATATTATCCTTTTACTAAATGAATAATCCATTGATGATTATGGATAATGATGATTAGAGTTTATGAACTAAATCATTGCTTCATTTTACCAAAGAATAACACAAAACTGGCAGAATTTCAAGACCTTTAAAAGAAGAGAAGAAATTACTTTGAATAGGCGTGGAAGTGATTGTGTTATGAAGAAAAGTCATCAACCTCCTAATGGACTAATGCATACTGGAATGTAGTAAGGCACTTTGCTCAGTATTTACTTCCAGAGAAAACTTCACATTGCTTCATTCTTCCCCAGTCCAGAATCCAACAGAACTACAAACTTCATGCATGACAGCACTCTGAAGCACTTTGACAATTACCATTAGCCTGAAACAACGTGACTAAACTGAATAAAACAAGTCTTCATTTTACCTTTGAAAAAAAGGTTAGTAAACAATGAGCACATTTTACACTTGCCCTAGAAAGTAGCTTCAATCATGTGCTTCCCACTGCTGTAACAAAGTGTTTGCCACTGTAAGTAAGGATCAGGTTCGTGACACCTGAGAAACCTGAATGTACAGAAGTCTTTGGACCTGATGAGATGCATCCCAGAGTCCTGAGGGAACTGGCTGATGTGGTTGCCAGGCCCCTGTGCTTGATAGCTGAGAAGTCCTGGCAGTCAGGTGAAGTCCCAGGTGCCTGGCAAAAGGAAAATTGCATTAATCTTTAAAAAGGGTAGAAAGGAGGCCTCTGGGAACTACTGACCTGTCATCCTCACCTGTGAGCCTGGGAAGATCATGGAACAGATCCTCCTAGAAGCCCTGCTGAGGCACATGGAGAACAGAGAGGTGATTTGGGAAAGCCAGCACAGCGACACCAAAGGCAAATCTTGCCTGACCAACCCAGTGATTGGGTGAGCACATGAATGGACAAGGGAAGGGCTACAAACATTGTCTGTCTGGACTTCTGTACAGCTTTTGACATAGTTCCCCACAACATCCTTCTTTCTAAATTGGAGGGAGGTGGATTTGATGGATGGACTGTTAGATGGATAAGAAATTGCTTGGACAGTTGCATCCAGAAGGTAGTGGTACACGGCTCAGAGGCCCGATGGACATCAGTTATAGGTGTGGTCCCCCAGGGGTCCGTACCTGGGACCAGTGTTATTTAATATCTTCATTGATGACACAGTCAAAGGAATCAGGTTCACCTTCCATGGATTTGCAGATGACACCAAGCTGAGTGGTGCAGTTGACACTCCAAAAGGATGGAATGCCATCCAGAGGGACCTGGATAAGCTCTAGAAGTGGGCCTGTGTGAACCCCATGAGGTTTAACAAAGCCAAGTGCAAGGTGCTGCACCTGGGTCAGGGCAAGGCCAGGTATCAATCCAGGCTGGGGGATGAATGGATCGAGAGCAGCCCTCTGGAGAAGGACTTGAGGGTGCTGATGGGTGAGAGGCTGGACATGAGCCATCGATGTGCACTCACAGCAGAGACCTGATTGTGGCCTTCCAGTGCCTGAAGGGAGCGATAAGAAAGATGGAGAGGGACTAATTACAAGGCCAGGTAGTGACAGGATGAGTGATGACAAGGGGGAATGGTTTCAAATGACAGGTTTAGATTAGATATTAGGAAGAAATTCTTCCCTGTGAGGGTGGTGAGGCAGTGGCATGAGTTGCCCAAAGAAGCTGTGGATGCCCCATCCCCGGAAATATTCAAAGCCATGTTGGGTGGGGCTCCAAGCAACCTGGTGTAGTGGAAGGTGTCCCTGCCCATGGCAGGGGTCTGGTACCAGATAATCTTTAAAGTCCCTTATCACCCAAACAATTCTGTGAATCTATGGATTCTTTGTTGGTTTTTAATTTGAAAAGCTGTTTGATTTTACAGAATTTTTAAGAGTTTCATTCTTGACACATTGAAGCTACCTTGTGTACCAATGCATTTAATGTGTAATTAAAATAAAAGCTATTTCCTGTTGTTCTGTAAAGTCAATTATCTATTTACCAAATACCAAATTTCATGTCTGTGCTATTTCTTATTTCATTGTGCAACATGAAAAAAGGGAAATGTGAATCATAAAAATTAGTGTCTGGGCAAATATACCCTGTACTTTACACTCTTAGATTCTTTCCTAAGACAGTCTGGGGTGCACCTTTTATTTATCACACAGATATTTATTTACCAGAGCCCCTCATTTTTTCTGTACCAGCCTCATGCCTTCAGATATTTTACATGATATTAGTTTCTCTGTGTGTTCTTTCTGGTTTTATTGTATATGTAATGTTTAGTTATTCTGTGTCCCAAGTGTAACAAAGAAGATGGATTTCCCCACTCCTTTTCTTGTTTTTGTTTTGGGTTTTTTTGTTTGTTTGTTGGTTTGGTTTGGTTTTTGCTGGTGTCCCATATTACTCTTGTTCCAGGGTTATAATATTTTATAAGACATTCCCGGAATCTCATCTAGGTCTTGAAGTTAGTCAACCTTGAAATTAAGGGGAATCCTGAAGATTCTGGCCAGCAGTTGAATTAATTCAGCCCATGAAGGATGCATTTGAGGTTGTATTGGAATAAATGTGTGTGCATTACTTAAGAGATTGCTCTTAATGGGCTATGCCAGAGGTTATAGTGTTTCCCAGATTGTGGGCATGGCATTCCCTGTATGCCAGTTGAGGTTATGGACAGGAAGGAGAATTGCAAATTCTCTGAAGCTGCAGCTGCAGTAAACAGAAATCTCTGCAAATGATTTTCATTGCAAGTGTATCCAATGCAAATGCTTGAACTACCAAAGAGTATGACATTTTGCTGCTGAGCAGTGAAGTTCCTTCATGACAAATTTGTAAGAAATATAATTTATGAGCTGTAAACATCAGAGTTAACAACTGTTACCGTGCTCCAGATCTGTGATATAAAGAATTATTGCCCTATGCAAATCTGTGTACATGTGTCTACATGTTCTATATGTAGATAGAGCCAGGTGGGGATGCAAAAACAAAGGTCTAAAGTGATGAGATACTAATGGTTTTGAGTTTTTGAGAAGGCCACAAGTGTTCACAAGTTGTTTTGATACTTTGTCATCCTGTTAAATACTTATTCCATTCTTTTGGTCCACATTTGATAGGTTTTAACTTCA